ACCTGAAAAAAATTATTTCTGTAAAGTTTGGCGGTAACTTCTTAAAATATTTCTTGTTTTGAATAAAAATGTAAAGGCGTTTTTCTTTGTAAATCGCTGCTGATCCTTTGGGAAATGTATAAAGTTGCGCATAGAAGGAAAGGTGCGAATACGATGTCATTTTTCACCCCTCTAATATTAACCCAGTTTTTGGGCACTTGTTATATTGTTCACGATTTCTAATGGTATTTATTATTTATCCATTATTCAAAGTTTATTAGCTTTTTGAAGCTTCAATCGAGGGTCTTTGCTTAAATATTCTGATAATATATTAACATTGACTTCAACCGCGATGCTAAATAAAATAGTTTAATAAACTTTCTGGATGTTTTTTTTCTCTTTAGGCGTTTTGAATGAACAAATCTGTGGCAGGCAACCCCAAGAAAAAATCTTAAGATTAGGTATGTTATTATTGGATCTAGGAATTTCAAAAAATCATCCATCTTTAGAATGGATTAAATCCAATCAGTTCCTGAAAACTTAGGATGTTAAATAACTGAATGGTACATAGGCGATGTGTCCCGAACAGTGCCGCTGAGATACCGGACAGAGATTAGGTAATAAATATGTAATTATGCAATATACTTTGCAAGTTAACTAGTTATTCTCAACGATAATGAGAAACTGACAATACAGAACTCTCCTTTTACCAGTCATATTTTAAAGATAAAAGGTACAAAAATACCTGATGCTGAATATATAACAGTCCTCCCTCGTAAATCTTCGTTATAAATTCATTTTCTGAACCAATTTAATTTCGCGTTTAGAACTAAAAGTCATGGTGTTTTGTAAAATAGATGTATTCAGATCTTGTGTATCCCCTTCCTCAGTAACATTATCCTTTTTTTTTATTGTTAGATTTTTCTTGTATAGTATTGCTAGTATTTTGAATGTCTTCACCAGATTCTTCTTGTAAAGTAGTACTAGTGTTTTATATGTTGTTACAAATAAACCCAGTTATTTAAACTTTAAGATAAGAGAACCTTAGGGTCATGCAGTTCAAAAAATTAAGATAACGTGTAACCACTCAAAATCCAACAAACAATAATTTTATTTTGTTTACAATGTTATGTAGTAATATGTAGTAACAGTCAATGTTACTTTCTGTAAAATTTTACAGTTGACAGCTTGGTTGTTCTAATAAATCTTGATACAGTGTACCTACCTTTCCAATCCGGAGCCCTTGAAGGGATGTTGGTGTTTCACTTCCGTGAACTGGAGTTCTTCGTGTTGTTTCCTGTATCTAGGAACGAGGATAGATTGCTGGAGTGACGTCACTCCAGCTGATCCAGACTCCAAATAGTGATATTTATGTCCAGTAGGTACCCAGAAAAGAATGAGGCAATATCAGGAATATTAAATTAATTTGGAATATTAAATCCCTGAATTCTGTCAAAAAGTGAGTGTCTTACAAAGAACAAAAAAAAAATATATATGAAATTAGTTTATTATAAAACCATTGTTGTGCAGACACTCCCTTTCAACAGAATCAGGTATGAGCAACTATTGCAAATTGAAAAAAAAAATATATTTTAATATTAAAAAATTACAATTCAATAATTGGAAAATAATCATGAAAATAGATTAAATTAAAATGCTCCCTACAGGTTGAGCAGAGTGCTGCTTTTCTGGCGGTAGCAATAACACGCATATGAACTCAAAAAACGTGGAACCACCAATCACACACAATGGAGGCCCGCAATTAGATAAAAAATTAAAATATAATATTTATATTTCAAGAATAGATAAGATAAGATTTATCAGGTAAAAACTTAACAATGATATGATAATATGCGCTGATAGCAAAATATATTGAAAAATTGATAAGGGAGAATCTAAAAATGTGAAGGTATAAGTATAAAAATAAAAATGACTCGCCTGCTACAGCACCAGGAAAAGAAAACGTTTTAGAAACCAATCCCTATAGAAAAACAATCCTGTGTTTTTTATACGTAACTGCGTTTTAACCAGATCAACCAATCAGAAGATTACACCCAAAAGACCATATTCACTTTACAATGACTTCACAATGAAAAACCACGTGGAATAAAAAAGAATAGATAAAAACCCACTAGAATTATTTTAATTGTTCACAAATTATAAGAATTTAAATTAAGATTATGTCAATAAACAAAAAACTGCTAATTAATTAGGTCATTAAGCTAAGAATGATTAATTCAGAATCAGAAGTTAGAGAAAGACAGAAATATATCAATTTGCTAAAAGTGAGATAAATATAATTTCATTAAATGAAAATACAAATGACTGGCAAATGGGAAATAATAAAAATAGCTAAGGAAAACTATCACAATTTAAAAAAAATACACTCATCCGGTAGTAGATGGCAGTACCTACTGGTATTATTTTGAACTTTGTGGATATTTTTGGATTATTATGAATTATTATTTTTCTGATTCTGAAATGGCAAAAATACAACTTTATAATGAAAATGATAAGAGATGGAACATGTTACATAAATGATAAATTTGTCGTAACAATGTCTTCATCATTCAGTTCTTGTATGTTCGAGTGTATATTAGATCGGTATTATGGATGTCTTTATTTCCTCCATAATGTTCTTGTTATATATCTTAGCCATATCGGCGGTGCCACTTTAGTCCCAAATATCAATCGATTTACTGTATAATCCCCTATTGGAATTGTAATAGCTTGGATTCTAACACTTTCTTTATTCATTGGCATATATAATAGGCTTCTCTAATATACAGTGTCGTAAATGTTTTTCCACGGAACATAGTTTTCGCAAAGATATCTTCCACATTTGCCATTGGTTTATCATCTTTAAGTACATAGCCTAACGGAACCAGCAGACTTCAAAATTGGAACTATTGGAGTTCCCCACTCGCTATACTCCAACTTAGTTAAAATACCTTTCGTCTCAAGTCTATTTCAGAAATCACTTTTTCTTCTAAGGTATAGGGAATTTTCCGAGTAGGAATTAAAATAGGTGAACAGTTTTCTTTAGGAAATAGAAAACCTTCGAAATTGTTAATTCTTTCCAATTCATCTTGAAAAACATTTGTAAATGTTTGTTTAAGACTTGCAATCACCTCCCCTTTTTCCTCCAATGTGCTGACAAAATGTATTTCTGAAGTGTCAAGCTTTGTGGTATTTATCCATTATCTGCCAAAAATCGGGTCAACTTCTCCTGGTGTAGTATATAAATTGGCTGTAACTTCCCTTCCCTTAACTTTTCAATTCATACTCAAAAAACCAATGGGTTTCATAATTTCAATTGTATAAGTTTTTAATGGTAGATATGTTATATTTATTTCTTTTTCGGGAATTTTTTTTATAAAATCTTTATATGAAATCGAAGATACCGGAACTCCGGAATCGTACTCCATTTCTAGCTGGATTCCATCTAAAGTTACTTTTACTAAATATTTCTATGTTTTTTTTTTTTAATTTTCTGGTGAATACATTGTATCAAGTGCATTGGGATATGATAAAAAAGTTCTTTAAACGATTTTCTTGTAGAGATTATTATACAGTTATTATCTGCAATTCCTGATACAATACCCATTTAAGTGACGCTAGAATTCATTAAGAATAGAATCTTGATGGAAGAAAAGAGAGACAAAATAAAAATAAGTATGAGCCAAAATATCAAGGTGAAGGGAGAGGTGTTTCTAGGATATAAAAGAAACTGTAAGCCGCATTTCAATTCAAGGAAATTGGAAAAAGAGGAAAAATGAAAAGAAATTTCCATTTAGATACTATGGTTGTGGTAAAAAAAGGCACAAGAAGGTGGACCTGGATATGAATCAGAGACACGAACATTGGCTTGTTATGCAGCAGGAAAAATTGAAGTTAACCAAGTAATATTGACAGTGGTGCTACAAAACTCGAAGTTGTATCTTCCGATGTGTGTGGACCAATAACACCCACTACTTATCATGACAAGAGATATTTTGTAGCCTTCATGGATCATTACAGTCATTTTACAGTTTGTTATTTGATGAAGCAAAAGAGTGAAGTTTTTGCACATTTCAAGAATTTCTTAGCAATGGTTAGTGCAAAATTTAACAAGAAACTGGAACGAATAAAATATGACAATGGAGGAGAATACGTCTCAAGTGAATTTAGGGACTTTTGTTTAAAGAAAGGTATTAAATTAGAATACACAGTAGCATATACACCACAACAAAATGGAGCAGCCGAAAGATGCAACAGAACCGTAATGGAATGTGCAAGATGCCTAATATTTGAATCGAAAATGGACAAAAGTTTTTGGGGTAAAGCCTTGAAAACAGCTGTATATCTAATAAACAGAACTTCAACCACAGTGCTGAGAAATAAAGTTGTTCCAGTTGAAATTTGTTATGTTTATCAGCCTTATTTGAATAAGATTAAAGCATTTGGATGTAGAGCGTATGCTTATGTACCAAAAGTAGAAAGATTCAGTAAGTTAGATAAGAGATCAAAACTATTGTTTATGATGGGATATACAGACAATGAGTATCATGATCTCTAAGAGTCTTTAGGTTATCTTTCAATACATATAGGTATCAATTTTTCTCTATTTCCAAAGTGTAAATAAATAATTTACATCTTAACTTGACTCAATTTTACCATTACAGAATAATTCGCATTGTTTAGTTCAGGCCCCAAGGTCGCTTATGATATCGTAAGAATTATCATAAACCAATATATTTTGACATTAATACAAGCTTGTTTAAGAATTACTCAAATGATTTGAACCAATATGAAACTCACAATAACCATTATCTTTTTCACATGCAATTATACAGATTAATTTCCCTTCCAAAAACATAGAAACAAAACAATCCCAATAGCAACTCATTAAAATAACCAGCTGAGACACGAACAAATCTCATCGAAAACCATAACTTACGATTTCCATGCGACTTGGCAATTATATAATTTGAATGTAGTACAAAATGTGTTATTTCAAATTTAAGTTTTCTTTGTTTCAGAGTGTTTGGGTGAGGATCAGGAAGATCGCAGTGGCGGGCGCGCGAAGATGCGATTCGAACACAGAGAGAGCCATTTGAGAGGAATTTTGCGTCGACGAGAATGCCAGAGATGCAGGAAACAGTGAGCTGAGCTCACACCGGCGGAGCAATGCCTCTCTGAAAAGGTAAGAATCTAGCTAATATTTAACTAAATATTTGGAAGTTCTGTTGAAAGCTATTCAGTGCAGTGCAGAAAAAAAAACCTTCAAAGTGAACATTTTCCAAAAACCAACATTATATGTTCTTCTCCACTGAAATACAAACTGATTAGGGTGCAGAATTCTATAAAGCCTGAAAATTGGCATTATTATCCTTATTAATTTTTCCCATGATATGGTTCATCATACGGCTCCACGTAGCTGGTGCGTTCTTTAAACCAATTGGCATTCTTAAAAATTGGTATCTGGAGTTCTCAAAAATTGAGGAACATTTCATTTTATAGTGATGAGTGGAATTTGAGTTGTTTATTTTGCACTGAAAGTTTCTGAATCTCCCATGTCCTGGCTAAATGTTTTAATAGTTTAACACAACTTCCAAAGATTTTCCTATTAGGTTTAGTTTAGTTTTGTCAACATCGTCTTTCTACAACTGCACCAATCTCTCGGGCAAAGCTAAACGTGAAAACTATTTCGCTAAACTACAATAAATGAAATCTATTTCGGTTAAAACCTGAAAGAACTCGCTCTAAAACAAGATAATAAAGTATGGTCCGGCGATTTGTTTTCGAATCCGACAAAATCTCCAGACGCCACCGGAGATGGGAATAGGGCCTTGTCGTCTTGTGAGGATTCTCTTGCTTTATTTTACCGCACACTTTTATTTGTGTAAATTGGATTAGAAACCCGGACGCTGACAAATTACTGGAGTTGGGCTTTTTAAAACGCAAAGAAAGATGTAATCGAGAGCGAAATTGGAGCTTGAATTAGGACACGTGTTGTTTCTTGCAAAGGATAACGAGAATTCTACTTTCACAAACTAAATAATATTTATCTGGAATGGCTGGTTATGCAATGCACTATCTAAAATCCTAAGAGCTACATTTATTGTTTGTTATGACGCATACAAAATTATTTTGTTCTTGTCCTGCAACCCTTCACGCACATAAAACCCCTCCGTTTATTTTTTTCTTTTTGCCAGTTAAACATCTCGTCGAACGAGTACAAACAGGGTCCTCAACCCTCCAAACAGCTCCTTAAAACAGTCTGTTAAATATTCAACAGCGCGACCTCAGCTACGCTGCTATGCCGGTAGCTCCTTTGCCCTTCTATCCCATTCCTTTCCAGATTATTTCGCCTGCAATTTCAAACTCGGTCGACTTGAAAGGAATAAGGCATTACAAAACAGGGAGTATTGTTATGCTGATATATTTTTGTTAAGAGGATGAAGTTGAGGTTTTTATTGTCATGTGCAAGTGGTTTTGTTTCAAAATAAAATATTGATTTTCCATAGGATTTGGCAGACTGATATGACAGTTTTAAACTGTACTTCCAATAGGGAACTTGCAATTTTTTTTTTTAATTTCAAAAATGTGTTCTACTACACAAAAGACTTAGCCATACCAAATATGGAGCATTAAAAATCAGCCGTTAATTTTTTTTATCCCATTTTGACGTTTAAAAATGTCATTATTGAACGCATAACAATGAAGGTAAGTAGACGTTTATCACCTCAGTGATTTAAAAAGATTTTAAGTCACTCTCGGCATTTTAAGTCACTCTGCCCAACTAAACATCTGATACCTCAGTGATTTAAAATATTTTTAACTCACTCTTGGAATTTTTCTTTGTACTTTATTTTTCAAATTTCCACAAAATGGGATAAAATTTTGTATACATCACGTGAGTTAAAATGTTTATTCATTCGAAGAAAATTAACCCACTCGCTTGGGCTCGTGGGTTAAACTTTCTTCTCATGAATAAACATTCATTTAACTCACTTGGTGTATAAATAACTAATAAATATTTAAAGTTACGCTCGGAACATCGCCATTTAAAACGACCAATTAGTGTGACGTCATTCGGCAACAAAATTCCGTTGACAGTGACGAACACTTCGAACTGGTAGATTTAGATATGGTTATGTTGTTATGTATGCCATTTGCGAGAGATTTGACAATGACGATACCAGTAGCACATGGCGTGTCGGCGGCGCGACCCGATTATTACTGCCTTGTGACGTCACGACCCATAGAAACACGTTTTCGATCGCGTCATGAATTTCGAGTTTTTTGGTATTTTCAATCGAAGATTTTGGACACCAGAGATAAGATATTACTTTTTTTTCCTAACTGCATCAATTATTAGGATGTTTGTTATTGTTTCTTATTATTTATTCCATTTTTAATTTAATGTGCAAATCTTGTGGCTTCCTCCTTGATAATTTTACGCCTTTCACGGCTTGCACGATGTCAAAGAAAGCTGAAGTTTTCTCGAATGTGATAGACAATGTTATGGAACTATGAGGTCATTAGTGAAAAATGGCTTAAACCGGAATACAATAATAAGTTATTGGAAGACGAGAGCGCTGAAGATGTTCTAAATTTGGAATTAAATGAAGGGAGTGACCAGCTACATGGAGGGCCATAGTGACAACACAAGTGCACATACACCAAGAGAGGAACAATTGGAACCATCAAAGACAAGAAGGATGTTGTCTTATTTTGATCCTGATGTACAGAGTTCCACTAAATCCTGTGTAATGTGGAAGAATGACTGGCCCTCGTGGAGCAGCTTGCTCGTTCTCATGGCCGAGACGACGATAACAAAATTTTGCAGATTCATACATGTGTGCGTGGTGAGGCTAGGCGATGGTTCAACAACCAGTTGGGTACATTGGAACGCGAGAGAATACTTGGCAGGAGTGGAAGCAACGATTGCAGGAGGCATTTCCCCGGCTACAGGGAACAACTGGACGCCATTTCAAAGAGGTCAAAACAACTTGATGAGTCTTTCACCTCCTACTACCGTAGGCATCAAAACATTCTGCCACCCAATCTAGCCATAGCTCGGAAACCTGACCAATCAAATTCGATGTGGCTATTTTGGGTGACACAATGTTACTACATGCGCTACATCAGGGGTCAGAATGTCGGTACCATGATGGAGCTATTTAAAGGGTCAAAATCTTATTGCATGGGCTAAATACCGCAGTGTTCTAAGAATGTATGAAAAATTTGGTAGGAGAAAATAAACAGATTACTGGCTAATAGCATCATAAAGGAAAACGAGTTAGAGTATGCTAGTCCACTGGTGAGAGTCCTAAAAAGGAATGGCGGATCAGGCTGTATGTCGACTACCGGGAGTTGCACAAAATTACTGTAAAAAACAGGTATTCCATGCCACTGGTGGAGGACCAACAGCTTGTCCAGTTGAACTGGGAAATGCTTATTATACAACACTGGATCTTGTGGCAAGATTCCATCGGGTACCTATTCATCCTGCATTCACGTAAAGGACAGCGTTTGTTACCCCAGACGGGTACTAATATGAATCTCTACGAGTACCTTTTGGGTTGGCCAACAGTCCAGCTGTTTTTCAGCGAGTAATAAACGAAATGCTTGGAAGCATGCGCAAGTGCTGGCCTACATGGATGATCTTCTTATTCCATCTCGTACGGTTCAGGAGGGTATATCACTGCTTCAGGGAGTGCTGAATAAAATCAGGGAGTCGGGTTTCAAATTAAACCTAACAAAATGTTCTTTCCTCAAGCAACAGCTTGACTATTTAGGTCATGAGCTGTCTGCACAAGGTACCTTTACGTCTAGGAGATAGAAAGATAAGGGCAGTTAAAGAATTTCCGGAGCCAAAACAATTCCATCAAGTGTGGCAGTTCCTGGGATTGGCGAGCTCCTTCAGGAAGTTCATTAGAGATTTTGCGATCAAGGCAAGACCTTGAAGCCAATTGACAAGGAAAGATGTAAAAGAGCACTAGTGGATAGACCCGCTCTTGCATTATACAACCCCAGTATTGAAACCTAAGTCCATTCAGATGCCAGTAGAGTAGGACTAGGAAGAATGTTATTGCAGACGGAAAGTGATGACCAGTCGAAGGCAGTGATGTATTACAGTCGCGTAACAACTCCAGCAGAGCAGATGCTCCATAGTTATGACCTAGAAACCCTGGTAGCAGTTGAAACGATGAAGCGTTTTCGAGTGTATCTGGCAGGCATACCGTTCAAGCTAGTTACAGATTGCGCTGCTCTTCGGGCAACTTTTGAGAGAAAAGACATGATTCCGAGTAGCTCGGTGGTGGTTGAGCATCCAGGAAATGGAGTTCACTATTGAGTACAGACCGGAAGCACAGATGCAACATGTAGACGCGCTGAGCAGGAACCCAGTGCAAGTCAGCGTCAAAATTGGGGAGACTGACTGGTTTTTGACCGTTCAGCTTCACGATGAGGGAGTCCGTCAGATTCATACCAGTCAGGACGAGCAACTCAAGGCGGACTTCAAAATGAAAAATGGGAGAGTTTATCATGAAACCCTGGAAGAGGAAAGATTGTACGTGCCTACGTACATATTTGCGTATACTTTCTTCTGTAATTTACTTAGTAGGTAATACTTATTTTTAGGACAAAATCTTCTCATATGTCCAACCTCATCACACAAATGACATTTAAAAGGAAAATATTCATCTTTATTTGCATTTCTTGATGCGTTCCCAAAAGTCTTGTTGAAGCTCTTATTTCTATAACTGGATGCAAACGCAGCATCGTTTGATACAAGTTCCACATTTTTGGTTTTTCGACTTTCTTCCATCAAAAGTTCATATTTGACAAAGTCCAGGCTCACCTTTGATTCATCCTGGCAAAACATTACATCAATAGCTGTTACAACTGATTGGATTGGAAATTGTCTGGCACTGCTGACAACTGCTGGCATATTAACTGTTTGTCATCTACATTTCCACCACCAGCTTTTAATTGACTTACTGTTTGATCAAAATCAGTAAAGAATGTATTTCTGTTTTTTCCATAAATTTCATTGACCTTAGCTTCCTCTGCAGATGTACCTGCATAGATATTCTCTTTTCAACATATACCTGTTCTAGAGATTCCATGATTTCCTTCGCTGATTTTTTATCTTTTATTGTTTCTAACCTGTTGTCTGCCAGACACTGGACGATT